TTGCATATGGCAGGAAGGCAGAACGAAGACAATCCCTGAGAAGTTTGAGGGAGCTGGGCCCAGGCAGGCCTGGCCATGTTAAAAGAATCGGAGGGAAGTCATCTTTCCCTGTTAACAAGTCCAGCTTCAGCTACAGAGAAGTTTATTTCCCTTTCAGTTCAGTAGTAGAACATCATGAGATTTGATCTTCAGTACTGAAGAAAAAAAATGTTTATTTCTAAGTTGAGCCATAGAGTCAGTGTAGTCTCCCTCTCTCCCTCTCTCTCTCTCTCTCTCATCTGGTAGGGGGATAGAAATGAACAACCTGATCCTAGAACTGGCACAGCCAAGTAAAGGAACTAGATAAGGCAAACCACTCTGGAGAACCACTACCTGGTTTTGATACCTGACAGTAAAGCTACAGTAAGCCATAGACTTCTCTACCAGACAAAATGACCCCAACGATCCTACATTCTAAAATGGCTCCTGTCCCTAAAATGGTTCCCACTTACAGGAAATGAGCCACTTTGGGAAAGTAAAACCTACTTATAGAAGCAAAACCTAACTTATTGCTCCATTCTGCTACCCATGTGATCTTCTCCTTCCAATAACCCGTCACCCCGTCACTAGCCCCGCAGTACAACCAATCTCCAGCCCTCCACGACACTCTCCCAACTACAAAACCCTATATAAGCTCTACCTCACCAGCCACATGCCTCTTCATTCTCTCTCTCTCTCTCTCTGCCCATTGTTGAAGAAAGACCCGCAGCTCCTTCCCCCAATAAAGCCTTGCCTCAGGTGCTCCTGTTTTGGCTTGATTTCCTTCATTCTGGTGTCGAAACCTGGGTTTCTTTCAGCAACTAGTCAAGACACCACGATGTTGGTGAAGGACTGAAGTATAGAGCTGTGTAGACAGTCAGGAACTAGACCTACTTACACATCAGTCGACTTCTGACAAAGGTATTCAGGCAATTCCATGGAGAAAGACGGCCTTCTCTGCAAATGATTCTGGCACAACTGAATGCTCACATGTGAAAAACGAAAAACAAAAAACAAAACAAAACAAAAAAATTCTGTCGGGAGCAATTCTATATAATTTTAGGGAAAAATAATTTCACAATTAAATCAGGATTAGGGCCTAGTTTTCCTGCTTACAGGCCAGCTATGGCATGTCGAGATAACTCCATTCTCACCTCCAGTCACAGCTTAAACCTTAAGCTGCTAAGTTACCCAGACTGAGTCGTTGGTGCTGTGATGCTCCAGGATAGGACTACACCAGCGGAAGACATCCTGGGAGGAACCAAATCTTCATCTGCATAGTTTCTCGTTGTTCTAGGATTATCTTGGCCTTCTGAGTCATCTGCTACATTTGTTTCTCCCAAGGTACTGAATAAAGGTGTGGAAATCTTGGGGTCTTTCAGCTATGCTGCCCAGAGCAGCATTGATCAGGCCCAAAGCTCAGCTTCTGCTCTAAGTCTCATTCCTGCCTATATATTCGTTAATTTGCCTTGTGTTGTTGTGGCTCACAGGAGACTAGAATTTAGTGCAGAGGTTCTAGTAATGTCCCCTTTCCCTGTTTCCTACATTCTACAGATTAGATCTCACCCCACATGTAAAAATTAACTAGACATTGGGTCACAGGCCAAGAGGTAAAACCTAAAATAAGACTTTTAATGAAAAACATAGGAAAAGATCTTTGTAACTTGGAGGTGGAAGAAATTTGCCAGTGGAATGCCAAGAGTGAAAATCATAAAAGAAAAATCAATAAAGTGGACTCATTAGTGTTAAAATCTACCCATTTCCTCTGCCAAGGAAATGAGAAAACCAATTACAGATTGGAAGAAGGTATTTTCAAATCACATGTTTGATAAGACTGGCATCCAGAATATATGCAGGAGTCATACAATTTACTGTTAGTAACATTATGTGAAATGAGAAAACCAATTATAGATTGGAAGAAGGTATTTTCAAATCACATGTCTGATAAGACTGGCATCCAGAATATATGCAGGAGTCATACAATGTACTGTTAGTAACATTACATGGACGAAAGACTTGAATTGGTGGCTCATGAAATAAGATTACAGACAACGATAACAAGAGGATGCCTAACATCATTACAGTCACTGGGAAAACACGAGTCACTGGGAAAACACGAAACCACAATGAGCTATTACCTTAAGCGAGAGGAAAGGCTTAAAAAACCTCCCAAATGTTGACAAGGCTGCAAAAATAACAAAACCTCTTGGAAAACAGTTTGGTCCTTATGGGATTACACTTACCATGTGACCTAGCACACCAGTCCTAGGATGGATAGATGGATTATTGATTATAGATTAATGATTCATTTGCAGTACTGGGGATTGAACTCAGGATCTTCACATTGAGCTACATCCCTAGCCATTTTTTGTACAGCGGACCCTCAATTTACAGGCTCAATTCACCGCCGAGGGCTGGTTTTAACTCATGTTGCTCAATCAAAGGCTCAGGCTGCTTTACACAGCCTTCAAAGTCTCTCTCCTGTACACAGGCTGATCTCAGTGTCCTTAGAGAGACACTGGCCCAGGATTTCTCAGCGAACCCCACCCAGGAAAGGATGCTGTCATGTTCCTTCCAGAACCTTTTAAGGTTTAAATCTTTATCTGAGACCATCTGGAAGCACAAGTGGCTGGTATTTGGGTCATAACTCAAGACTTTGGTCATAAGTTAAGACTAGAATTCCAGTCACAATCCAAGTTGTTTGTAGGTCAGGTCAGTCAGAACTGGAGGGTCCTCTATTTAGGATGGATAGATGGATTATTGATTATAGATTAATGATTCATTTGCAGTACTGGGGATTGAACCAGGATCTTCACATTGAGCTACATCCCTAGCCATTTTTTGTACAGTGGACCCTCAATTTACAGGCTCAATTCACTGCCGAGGGCTGGTTTTAACTCATGTTGCTCAATCGAAGGCTCAGGCTGCTTTACACAGCCTTCAAAGTCTCTCTCCTGTACACAGGCTGATGTCAGTGTCCTTAGAGAGACACTGGCTCAGGATTTCTCAGTGAACCCCACCCGGGAAAGGATGCTGTCATGTTCCTTCCAGAACCTTTTAAGGGTTAAATCTGTATCTGAGATCATCTGGAAGCACAAGTGGCTGGTATTTGGGTCATAACTCAAGACTTTGGTCATAAATTAAAACTAGAATTCCAGTCACAATCCAAGTTGTTTGTATGTCAGGTCAGTCAGAACTGGAGGGTCCTTTATTTTGAGATAGGGTCTCCCTAAGCTGCTAAGTTACCTAGACTGAGCTTCAACTTGTGATCTCCTGCCTTGGCCTTCTAGTGTGCTGGGATTGCACGTGTGTGCCAAGCCCATCTCTACTCCTAAGACTTTACCAAAGCAAATGTAACATGCTTATGAAAAAAATAATCTCTCTATGTGTTAATTGGGACTTTCTACATTATTGCCCCAAACTAAAAGGAACCCAGGTGTCCCTCAGCTGTCTACTGGATGAAGCACCCCGAGGTCCACGGTACCATAAAGTATGGCTCTGTGGTGAGAAGGGATGAATGGCCAAGCAAGGCAGCCGTGTGCTTGCTGTGCGTGTTTCAGTGAGCTTGAAGGGGTGCACGCTGTGTGATTCCCCAAGGGCGACGTGCTGGATGATGCTCCTTCAGGGAGCTGAAGGAACGGATGTCAGACCGGCCATTGCTGGACTAAAGAGGAAGAGACTGGCTAACACAGGCCACCAGGACGCTTCGGGGGGCGAGGGAAGTGCTCTGCATTGTAGCGTTTGTTGACAGACTCAGTGATTAGTGTTTCTTACACAGAGTAACACGAGTGTGTTGTGATTCAGAGACCTGGACGCCACCCCCTGGGACACCCCGGTGCTTACAGGAGACCGGCCTCAAGCAGGGCACTCCAGAAAGCCTCCCTCTCACCTAGCGTCCTGTCCCCTTCGCACTGGTACAACAACGATACCTGTACCTGCGGGGCGCGTCCTGTTTGGAAGCACTTTGCTTTCAGGAATCTGTGTATTCTCTCTCTTCCCGTCTTACAGATATGGAAACTGAGGCACAGGGGCATCATGGGCGTGTGGTTGCCCACACAGCAAGTCGGGAAATCTGATTCCAGATCTGCGTTCTCACTACA